TATTTTTGTACTACTATGAAATATTGTTTGTATCGCTTTGTGACTTAGTGCAGAAGAAAATAGACAATAGGTGAAGGAGACATGAGGCTGGTGATGGCAGCAGGTAGGAATAATAAAACTAATGAGACCACTAAAAGCCAGAGAATCAGAATGAATTAAATTTCAGTAGACACTGTGGGACAGAGAGGTGTAGATGAGAGTCTGTAATAAAAGTCTTTTGTTCTATTAGTTTATTGATAATAGAATAGAAGAATAGAATAGAATAAAATTCAACTTTATTGTCATTATACTGTCAGAAGTACAAAGCAACAAAATTAATTCTATACATTTAAGCCATCCCATTGGGGAGCAGTGGGCTGCTATTGGGAGCAGTGTGGGGTTAAGAATCTTGCTTAGGAACCCAGAAGGGAGGCTGCGGGGATTGAACACTCCCAAAAACTCAGCAACATTCCCAAAAGTGATAAATAACACGTAGAGACATAAAAGTAATAAGGGTTGGGGAGGTGCTTTAAGGTTTCTGCATACTGTACCCCTCAGAAAATAGGTAGTTACATCCCTACTTGAACAAATGCCAAGCAAAATCTCTGCTGCCTTTTGATTTTTGTTTTCTTATTTAGATTTTAGCTTGTTTTTACCAACTATTTCCCGTTCAGATCTTTGTCAGTGTTTTGTTTGAGTCACTAAACTGAGACCATTGATTCCTACTTGAGTAAAAAAGACTGGTTCTTCAGGAGATGAATCTGAGTCAGGTTTAGAACATATTTTAATTTATATTAATAGGAAACTTTGTTTTTGTTTTGTTTTTTGTTTTATTTCAACATGACTTTTGCTCCTCTTTTACAATCTAATCCAATTTTATTTGCTAAGCAATTATAAAATAACCAAAGCTGACCAAAGTGCTGTACAGAAAAATAGATAAAACGTCACAGATAAGAGACAAAACAGCTCAAACATGGGTAAAATCAAAAAGGTGGGTTTTGACAGGAGATTTAAAAACAGTCAGAGAGGAGGCCTGCCTGATGCACTGAGGAATGTCATTCTAGAGCTTTGGAGCTGCAAAGCTAAAAAACACGCAAATTCAAACATATATGTCAGAATTCATGGAATTCTGACATATATGTTTGAATTTGAATCTATTCAGACCATGTGCTGTCCCCAAGGCAACGCTCGGATTAGTTATCCACATCAAAACAACACCACCTAATTAGGTGATCAACTACAGAGCTATCGCTCAGGTCATCTATCAGATATGCTGTGTTTAGTGTTTAGTTCTTTTTTCCAATGAAAAATACACCTTTTAATTGTTGGTCATGTGCTGTCTTTTGGTCTTACACTTCCTTTGCCCTTCACTTTTTTACAATTTTTAATTGTTAAGCACACAGTACACATTATGCTGTCCTACAGATCCAAGGAATGGAAATAGTTTAAAAGAAGCCAGAGTCCAATGGAGATGTCCTCAATTGGACGTTCGTCATCTGATGGTCGAGAGAATTTTATATCAAGACTGTTTTGAACGATTATTAGAAAGCAGGGACAAAAGGTTGAAGAGATAAAATATGGCTTAACATGTTTTTTTTTTTTTTAGATAAAGACATTTTTTAGATGCATTTATCCTCAGAAACTGGAATCCTATAATTGTCACTCAAGGCTCACTGATCAGAGCTATAATCAGCTCTGATTACCAGGTTAAATACTAAAAAAGATGTTATTTTGCCACTTATTGAATGCATCAGAGCTCAGAAAATTAGTTTTTGTGTGAGTCAGCCAAACAACAGCCAGTAATTTAAACAGCCTTTAGTGACGCTTTGATAGATAAAGGGGGGTTTCTTAAAATTCTGTTATTTTCTGTTGGATTTAAACCTTCTAACTTTATGAGACCTCGATGAAATTATAAAATCATCATCAACCCGGAAAGACGTTTGATCTGTGCATCTTATAAAGCAAATTAAAACCATTATTTAGGATCTACTCTAGTATTAGTGATCTAGTGGGACAATAAACAGGTTAAAATGGGGATGAATGTGAATGTAGAATGCTGGAGAAGAAACTGATCTCAAAAGAGAAATGCTTTTGATAAAAAGGAAAGTCAAACATTTTCCAAATAAGCATCTCTTTCCGTTGTTTCCAGATGACTCTCAAGCTTTGTCCACTATTTCCTTTCCAGGAGTTACAAGAGGTCTGGATAATGCTTCACTAATCTCAACAACCATAAACTCACAAAAACAACTTTGGACAGCTCCAGATGGATAATACAAGGTAATGGTGTGGATGAAACAAACGGTAGAGGGTGACTCCTCTGCTCTGTGTTTGCAGGGGGACACATAAACACAACATGAAATGCTCCAGACTTTACTTTGAGAAGCAGAGATAAGTGACAAGGACACGTTTTCCCCACACACAGGGATACAGTTTTATGACACACTTTTTGGTTTAAAAAAAGACTTTCATAAATTATATTTATGTGGTATTTCCAACATTATGTGACTGATCGCTGTTTAATCAAACATTGCTCAGGAGGGGCTACAAGCTATGTTGAATAAACCTCCTAAGAAGCATGAAATGACACCACATGATTTCAAAAATGTGCCACAAGAGAATTCTGAATTTGGAGACTTTTATTTATGATCTGTTGAATCTAATATTTTCTATGCTGTTGGTCAGGATTCAACAAGGGCGTTTCTTGTCCCTCCCTATACTCCTTCCTCTTCTGAGGGGGCAGAAGTGCTTCTGAGCTCAAGTCTTTACATTTTTCAAAGCTGAGAGGAATGACCTTTAAACCATAGTGGTCTAATATGAACGCTCTTTGGTTTGTTAAGCGTACGTCACAGGAAGCTTATTCATTCCTTATCAGGGATTGTCTCCTTTCTGATGAAAGGTTGCTTTTTCACCAATTTTTAGGCAGTGACTAATTGATCTGCTGTAGTATTTAAAGAAATCTGTACTTATCTGTAGTATTTAAAGGAAATCCAGCTTAAGAGTAGCAAAAGTATCTAAATATTTTGAAAAAATGTTGATCTTTTTGATGTAATAGCCAAACTAAAAGTGGCATATTATGCTGAAGCCAAAGGAATAAGTTTTTGTATCTTTAAAAAAAAAAGTGATGTGCTTCACATGTGGCCTCCTTTTTTCCTACACTTCCAAATAAAATTCAATGCTTTTATTGTCTTGTGGGTGATTTTAACTCAGAATAAATCCATCTTAGCCTTGAAGGTCTTGAGACATTTGCTAGAGATCATTAGTGAACAAACAGCACCATGGAAACCAAGGAACACAGCAGACAGGTCAGGATGTGAAGAAGCCTAGGGCAATATCCAAAAGCACCACAGAGCACTGTGTATCCTGAAAATAAAAATATAAAGCCTTTCATTAGAGAAACAGCCAAGAAGCCTGTGGTAACTGTGGAGGAGCTGCAGAGATCTTCAGCTCAGGTGCTTAAAAAGGTTGCAGGTTCATCAAAGAGGAAAATTAAAACATACAGGACAAGCAACTCAGGTTTTTCCACATTTCAGGCAATATTTTTTCTTCAGTGTTGGTCTACCACATATAAACCCTTTGAAATACTTAGTAATTAAAAGTTGTATTAAGAGAAAATGTGAGGAAGTTTGAGTTGCACAAATGCTTCATGTTTGACACTTTAGAGAACATTTAGTAAAGTTATGTTTTTGTCATTGCGAACCATGAAACAAAAAAAGAATCAATTCAATAGAGTAATTTTACTCTCTTTATCTAGGGCTGCATGAGATTACATTACTGATCAAGACAGTTGAACACATATAGAATAGTATTTCTGCATGGATACATTTATTTCTGATGAATGACTTTGAGGTGCAAGAAAGTCAGCAAAGGACAAGACCAGGAAGTGGACTTTATCAGGAGAAAAAGATAAGGAAGGGATAAAAAACAATGGCCTGAGCTCAAACAAGACCTCAGTGCAACACAGCATGAAGGAAGAGGGAAGTCTGTGGGGTTGGTGGCAAACAGGGTCAAACAAAAAGGTGAAGAGTAGAGATTTAAGGAATGGAAGAGAAGGGAAGACAGTCACAGAAACAGGAAGGCATGAGCTGTTTGAACAAACCAACTTCCATCTTATCCTTAGGAATGCATACAATGACCCACTTCGCATGACTCTCTGTTTAAGGAAAGAGAAAATAAACTCCACGGCAACACAGGTGAACAAATTTCTCTCTGCTTCTATGTGGCGTCAAAATCTCCCTCCTGTGTGGATCTGCAGAGAACCAGAGCTCAGACATGAATGTTCTATGCTAGAGGAACATAGTTGAGCTATTCTCTGCTGCCCCAGCCGCCCTGAGCCACTTGATCACTGCTGGGACAGTGACAGAAAGCAGACAGAGAGCTCCCTCATTCTGCACCTCTGTGGGCGCTGCTGGCTAAAAATACACGCAGCGTACTTCACAGTCCACAAGAACTTTAGATAGTAAAGGAACGTGATCTCTATTACAGAGCAGGTCTCCAAGTCCACATGCAACAAGTGAACAAGCCCATCATTGAAGGCAGCATTTATTCAAGCCAGTCTTCATTCACTCTTTATTCCTATGTTAATGTAAAAAGCAAAATCTTTTGAAAGCAACTTCTGTGCAAAAAGAATAGAAACTAATGAGCAAATTAGGTGAAACAGTTACGCTCAAATCAATTTAAAAAAAGAAACACCAATAAGAGTAAACGGGATTCCTGCTGGTTAAAATAACTAAAATGAAATAAGAAAACAAGAGGAGCTGAAAAGATTATTTGCTCCAACAGGAAAACAGCTTCTTCAGGAGTTCAATTTCTAAACCACTTAAAGGTAACAGAGTTAGTCATAACTTGATTACAGGTCATGCTTGCATAAAACAAATGCTCTTTCAGTTAAGCCTCCTTCTTATTTTATTTTGACTTTGCAGCCTGCATGTGTACAAAGTATACAAAGTAATCCTAACATCCCACCTAAACATTTCCAGTTCTTTCTGAATCCCAGAAATCCCATCATCCATAGACTCACTCACCTCCCCAGGTGTGAAGGAGAGCCAGGAGTCCCAACAGCAGCAGAGAGGGAACATCCCGTACGGCCATGGTGTTGAATCAGAGGCAGTGATGTCTGTGCAGGGCTTGGCTTAGAAGACGTCTGCTCCTCTCTTGTTGAAATGCTTCGACCCACACAGCGAAGAGACAGGAGCAGCATGAGGAGGCAGATGATGCAGAGAGAGGGGGGGAGACAGAGCTCCTCCACTGCAAAAAGAAACAGTACTTTGAGAGATAAATACACTCAGACACTTTCACAAACTGATCTACTAATTAACTTTTCCTTATTCACTTTTATAGCCGTCCCACAGCTCTGTGCTGTTTCCTTTTTGGAGATAATTAGACAAGTCATACATTCATTTCAATATCTACTGTGCAAATGAATTGATATCTTTTGCAGTGGATACAGAAGGAGGAACAACCAACTAAGAGAGAGAGAGAGAGAGAGAGGGCAAAGCTAGTAGAGGGAAGGGTTGAGGTCTGGTAGAAAATACGAATGATGCAGACAAGTTCAAACCTACTATGCCACACCTTTGTTGTTTCTGAAACTCCCAAAAATATAAATTTTTAAATTGCCTAAAGTACACTATCTTAGATTTTATCAAAAGGAAATCTTGCCCTTTTCAGAAACTGAAAAGGGCAAACCCCTGGAAGTCCTAAAGTGTGGGTGTGGTTGCTATTCACTCCACATTCAGTGAGATCTGTGAGTGTGAGTTGCACGTAATTATGACAGGTTCAGATTGGTTTGATAAGATCAGCTGCTGGCGTAAAAGTAGTTGGTGAGAGTTCAGTTTAGAAAAAAAGACTATATTAAGTATGAAGAGGCTATGAAACCTTTAACACTAAAGTGTTTTTTTTTTTTACAATAAAGTTTTGACTCAGAGAGCTGTACACAGATGCCATGCCTTGCAAATGAATATGGAAGGAAAAGCAAGTTTATTTCAGCAAGAATATTCAAATCGTTTCACATGGTGATGACAGGATAAAGGAAGACATATTTACGCAGTGCTGTTAAGTTTTCATTAAGAATCACATTGATTCACTGTGAAAATGAAGAATCTCTGCTGCTGCATCTTTTTGTGCTTGAGAGGCGTGATATCTCATTTTAATCCCCTCTCTCATGGAGTGTTTTGAGTTTGATTCAGGTTAACTTCTTATTCTTTGTTTGTTTTGTTGTTGAAATGTTATCATTTAATTGTTGGGGTTGGATCTTATGGAGGACCTATAGAGTCATCTTGCAGGAAATATTTAAATCATGCATTTTGAAAAGTTATTTGAAAAGCATTTTCTACTACTTACACATATTAAATTCAACTATAAAAGAGTAAGTGTAAATTTTATTTATTTTATCCATTATTAATAATTAATTAATAATGCAATTTAAAGATGTATTTTCAAATCATATTTGGAAATGGAAATGTATTTTTATGATGTCTTTGTGTGTTAAAATGAATGATGCTTTGAGGTCTGACAAGGTTCTCTTGGACTTTGGCAGAAACAAAGGCCTAAGCATCATGGGATCTCCACTGTGCTTTACTGTGGTTATGCTGTGTTTTTGCCAAATTGTCCATTTAAATTAATTCAAAACCCACCTAGAATGCTTATTTTTCAGAAGGCTCAGCTCCAATCTTAGTTTTATTTAAACAAACAAGGTGCTACGCATTTCTTTTGGAAAAGAATATTGATTTCTCATTGCAGGAATTATTCCCAACAATTATTTTTTTTTTAAATGCACTGACTTGCTAATGATTAAGATTTAATTAATTACATTTTTTTTATTTTTTTAGTTTTAGTCTGAGGTTCTGTTGCTGCTGTAAAATATTAATTTGTTCAAGGCAATCTAAGCATTTTAATAGAAATACCTGTAAAACTGTCTGGATTAGTTTTTTTGTTTAACTTTTGTTCATTATATAAGACTGAAATAAAGCAAGTGAACATTTCTGGAATCCCTTTTGAGGAAAACCTGTTAACATTAGTCAAAAAATTATAGATTTGCAAGTCATGATAAATCTCCACCTCGCTAATAAATATTCTATAGTTTATCTTAGTTTATATAGTGCTGAAATCATGATCTCTGCTTTATGGACTCAGTTTGTTGATAGGCAAACCTGATTGTATTACCTTAAATACCTGATGCATTAAATACCCATATTATTGCCATGCCACCATGAAAATTATTTCTTAGGGCACAAGTAGGTGGTTTAAAACAGATATTAAAAAATAGCATGAAATGACCTTTTGCAGACTTACAAGGCATAACTTTTAATCCAGTGGAAAAAGTATTTCACAATTTGGCCAGAATACCAACTCATGAGAATTACACTGTGAGTTCATATAACAGAAGATCCATTACATTTAAGGATATAATTTCACTGATACAATAGATAGAGCGATGTTTGTTTTTCATTCATCACATAACATAAAACATAAACATTGCTACACAAACAACAGAGAGAGAACAGTCACTCAGAGAAAGACATAAAGTCAAGGTCCTATATGGGAATATTAGCTTTCATAATAATTATTATTTTCTTTTTTGCATTCTTTGTTTTGATTTGTTTTGATTCCAAATATGGAGGCTGAGAAAGAGCTGCAGGGAGTTATGTCTGAATATTTACCAAGACAATGTCTGACATAGTGACTTTCAGTCTCTTCTGGAGAGGTAAAAGAGGATCTGGCACTGAGCCTTCAAATGTTTTCTCATCTTTTAAAGATTTAGTCCCACAGGGACAGCCCAAGCCTGCATGGGGCCCAAAGCAAAATTCGGTTTGGGGCCCCTTTTTCTCTGCCAATAATATTACTGATGAAATCAACAGCCTAATGATCAGATTATTCACATACCACTTTTAAACTCATTGCATCTCTGGCAGTAATGTTTACAGTCTGGTGTTACTTAAAATATTAAAATAAACTATAATGGATTTCATTTAAAGTAAAAGTGTTATGTGGTTTATAGTTTTTGGTTCCAACTGCAACAGCATTGTGCAAAAACAACAACAAACAAATGATACGACTTTGATTAACTAAAATAGTAATCAGGTGCAAAATTAAATTAATTTTGAAATTAACTGATTAGCTCTTAAAACTATGTAAACATATGTAGCTATTATTATATGCAAAAGCTCTATTTGAAAAGAAAAAAACAAGATTCACCCAAACTTGACTTTTAATGCTATACTGCTCATTTCAATAGTCCACTCACTCCTTAAAACCTGTGCCGAGGGTTTTCTGTTTGCAAAATACCTGCTGACATCACTGTCAGAGATCTGATAGCAAACTGTGTTGTTACTAATACTAATCACTGCCAGCCCACTTGATCAGTCCTCTACCGTGAAAGAAGTCAGGTTGTTCTTTAATAATATGAGTTTTAAATAGCTCTGTTCTGCAGATGCAACAGTCACAGGGAGACGATGGGCCTTCCTCAGAGCTACGGCTCGGCTCAGATCTCATTTGAAAGAAAAATGTGAATAAATGGTTTCATCTGAGCTTTAGGGTGTCTGGATGGTTTTCCATCTCTAAAGCCAGGCCACTCTCATCACTATCAGACTGTTCTCCAAAGATAAGCTTGTCTTGGAGACGTTGACACTGGTCTATTCTTGTCTGTGTGTCATTCTGGTCCAAGAATGTTTTTCTTTCCTTTTTTTTTGTGTTTTTGTCACTATATCAATATGTAAATCATTATAGAAACAAAAGAAAAAAAGTATTGTTCTAAGGGTCCCACGAGTTGCCATGGGGCCAAAGAAGTCCCGTAGAGCTGAGTGAGTAATATAGTCAAATCATAGCTACTTCCTGGAGTCTGTTTTTTATTGAGATTGTATTGATTTTTTACAAAAATGCATCCATCCATTTTTCTAACAAGCTTACTCCCAAGTGGGGTTGCGAGGGGTGCTGGTGCCCATCTCCAGCTGTCAGTGGGCGAGAGGCAGGGTACATCCTGGACAGGTCGCCATTCCATCACAGGGCAACACGGAGACAAACAGGACAAACAACCATTCACACTCACACCTAAGGAGAATTTAGAGAAGCCAATTAACCTAACAGTCATGTTTTTGGACTGTGGGAGGAAGCCGGAGTACCGGGAGAGAACCCACACATGCTCAGGGAGAACATGCAAACACAAAAATCTTACAGAAAATAAATATTGAAAAGTGTTTTTTAAGAGTAATTGTATTCATACATATTGAGCTAACTTTACTCTGGACCCCTAAATAAAATCCAGTGTAACCATCTGCCATCAAAAAGCCTCTTGGTTAATAAAAGTAGTCAACTGCTATGCAGATAAATCTCTCTTCTGAAAAAGTTAAACTCATATTTATTCATTGCACACTGAATGATAGATCTTTGTTAATTTGACGATTGTGGTTTGTATTAAAGGTAATGAGAAATGCTAAATTTTTTGCATGGCTTTATTATTAAATTAAATATTTTTTTAAGTACACGCCGATAAACATTGTAAAATCCATGTGAAAAGAAAACCTTTTTTGAAAGCAGAAAGATTCCTGGAGTTACAGTATAAACAGTCATACAATAATTGATGTCAACTCCTGTTTCATTCTGTTAGAATGAGTTGGAAAATCATGTCTTATGGTTTTCCAACTGTCAGAGGAGAACTCCCTGTTCCTAAAACAGCTGCATTGTTCTGTCCCGTTCAACCTATTGTTAGAGAGCATGATGACTGGGTCTTTAAAACAGATAACATGGGTGTAGCTTGAGGAGATGTGGAGTTGCTAGGCAAAAAAAAAGAGGGTATTTTTTCCAACAAACCAAGTAAAATTCCTCACAGGCAAATTTCAAGAATGTCCCCTTTTCAACCTTTTTAAATTTGACACATCCTGGATGGGACATTTGGGAATATCCCAGGGCCGTGGGGTTTTGGGAATAAGGCAGAGAGAAGCAGGAAAAAAGGGTTGTCCACTCCCCCACTAGGTTCCCAAGGACCTCAGAGCCATGAACTATTTACAGTAGCATTCTTAAACCTAATGACAACAGGGGAAAAGAAATATCCCAAACAAATCACTATTTTGTGTTTGTGTTTATAATTAGATAGTGTACAGCGCCATGCAAAAGAATTTAGCCCCTTTGAACCTTTCAACCTTTTGCCACATTTCAGGCTTCAAACAAAGATATATAAGAAGAATAATATATAATGTAT